TGCACAACTGCCGTGGTTTCCCCACCTTCCAGTCCCCATTTCACCCCATATCTTCTCCAGGAATGAAATAGTGCATGTCCCAACTCGGGACCGAAGTGGATGGCGTGAAGTCTTGCCTGGCATTGACAAAATACGCAAAGGTCTTTGGAGGCCGCGTTCGGGACCTAGACCTTCCTTTCTTGGTCGCAGAGGAAATCCTCAGCTTTCCTCCCTCCTCTCAACTGAGTTAGATCCTCTTCCTGTGCCGGCCGGCAGAGCATTGGTGTGTCCCATAAAGTCCTTCCCTGTATTCTGGATCTGCCCTTGCCCCATAGTTTTTGCTAAGGTCCGGCCTCTCCATAGGCTGTTTCACAACACAGAGGCCAAACAGTTCTGGTTTTCACAGTGTTTCACCTAGCGAACGCTGCCCGTCTCACGTTTAGGTGTATCGCGGGGGCAGGCAATTATTTTGGGCGGAGGGCCGATTACTGAGTTTTGGCAAGCCATCGAGGACCGGATGATGGGCAGCCAGGGGCAGATCAATATTAATTTTATAAATTTTTAGGGGCCCTGCGTGTCGGCTAGAATGACCTGGCAGGCCGCATCCGGCCCACCCCTGATATATCGGTTGTCTCCCGTGCTGTTGCCCAAGCCGCAGTGCTTAGCATTTAAGGTCTGGGGCAGCAGTTTTCAACCCTCTTTGAAACCCTGAAGAAATTTTGAATGGAGATGCGGACCCCTTTGATTGTACGTGTGGGTATTCACACACCTTGATTGATCGCAGTCATCTTTTGCAGACCCCGTAGACATAGTCTGCAGACCCCCAGGGATCCGCAGACCACAGGTTGAAAACCACTGGCATAGGACTTGTCTTCAGTCTGCACAGACATTTAATCCTCCTGACACCTCTGAAATGGCTAAATATTATCTCATCGTTTTCCAGATGATTAATTTTTTTCAAATACGCACAGCTCTGCCTTTAAGTCCGCGTGGGAAATGCATAGCAGCAGCCTGCTCTAATCAATTCATTCCTCGGAATATAAAACAGAAACCTTGGAGGTTTATGGATATTAGTTCCTCGTCCTTTCTACTCCCTACCATCTCTCACCCTCGTTACCTATTGCAGCAGTGGCCGGGGCCTCTGTGTAGGGAAGGGGAGACCATTGCAGACTGCGCTGCTTCATTAGCTGTCCTGCAATCCTTGTCTCTTCTGTGTCCTTGTCCCCACATCTCTCTGGGAGACCCGAGGCAGATTTCGACACGTCTCCTGCATAGCAACGCAGGTATAAATGCCCGACTATCCCTGCTCTCAGCTCTTTGTCTCCCGGCTGCATTTGTGGCGAGGTTCTCGATGCTGACACCAATCCTGGGCACCCGCTGGGTTTTTTGTGGGAGCTGGAAGCAGGCGAGCGATGAAGTGTCCCTGCCCATTAAAACACCAAATGATTTGATTCTGCCTGAGCCCGGGAGGCGTGCAGCAGGCAGGTGTATTGTGTGGGCAATTTGTGCTTTTTCTGTAACCCCCCGATTTGGAGCCGGGCTTTCTCAACGTAGCCGGCGTCTGGCTCGCGAGCTGTGAATTAGCTGCGGTAAATGAAGATGGATGTTGGAATGGTGTTGCTTTCTTCGCGCTGAGTGCCTGCTGCTGCTGTGTAACATTTTTAATGGATCCCTAATGAGTGACACATGCCTGGCTAAGGGCAGGGGACTGTACATTAGACATCTGGCAAGCAGCAGTGAAGGGTGACATTTCCAGCAGCGAGCGGCACAGTAACCCTTTTGTTGCCCGATGCTCTGGAAGGATTCTGGGGTGGCTTTTTGCATGTGTTGCATCCTCAAATTTATCATAGAAAATGAGGGTTGGAAAGGACTTCAGGAGGTCACATCCAGTCCAACCCCTGCTCAAAGCAGGACCAGCCCCAACTACATCATCCCAGCCCGGGCTTTGTTGAGCCTCCAAGGATGGAGCTTCCACCACCTTTCTGGTGGTGGAAACCCTTTCCAGTGCTTCACCACCCTCCTAGGGAGAGTTTCTTTTAATATCCAACCTCAGCTTGCCTTGCTGAAGCCTGAGCCCATTGCTCCTTGGTCTGTCACCTGCCCCCACTGAGGACAGTCCAGCTCCAGCCTCTTTGGATCCTGCTATTAAATCTTTTCTGTAGACTAAATAAGTCCATTTCCCTCGGCCTCTCCTCATCAGTCATGTGCCCCAGCCCCCCCCCCC